GTCTTAGTTGAAATTCAAGCTTCTCTATCTTACTAATTACGGTAATATTTTCTAATCTTTATTAATTTTATAAGGGAAACCACAACTGTAGAAGAAATGCTATTTTACGAGCATTTACACTAAAGGGTCAAAACGTTTACGTCACTGCGCCGAATATAGCTCTAGATTATCACTTTCGAGCCGGTTCATATCGAATTAAAATATCTACGAAACGAGTCGTATTACATAAAGTCACAGAAGCCAAACTTTATATGCTTAATTATACGGTATGAACCCATCCTTATCTAAACAAATCGTAAACTTAGACTGAAATACCATACCGTAAGCCCACTATAGACCGCTTCCAGAAAGGCGGCCTACTAACTACTTCTAAAATGATCTTACCTGTCCTCAAACATGGTTTTAAGTCATAAATTGTAAAAGAAATATGTATAAACGTAGGCCGATGTGAACATGAGAATCAACAAACAAGCCCCGATGCTGACCTCTAACTTAAGTTATAGACGTTAGACATACTGGGCTAAGCTGGCAAATCTATATCATTATTTCTAGATGCACTTATGTTTCTTCAATCTTCACAATAGTATAAACATAATGAACGATTTAAATAAACATTTTGAAAGGTGGGAACTACTGTAAATGTTCCGTTCCCCCATAATTTTATCCGAGCTTTGGTACCGTAACGTGTAACTGCACCGGGCAATCGTCCCACATGGGGCAAACCGCAACCAGATAAACAGTATAATAATAGGCCTATGTCTGGGGAATCAATCTGTAGCCTACTTGAGAGATCAACCATCATGTTACTTTGTATGTGAAAATAATCTATCCAAAAACAGACTTAAATATGTCGATTAGGTCTAGGAATATAATCCTAGATATTTAGCTTTAGACATATATTTGGTGATGTGTGTATGTATGTATGGAATTAAGAATGGAGATAAATCCTAGGCTAAACGTGTGGACATGGGTATGTGTTTGGTATCTTACAACACTATTATAAGTGATGTAATATATTGGGTTGTATTAGATTCCCAGCCCACTTTTTTAAAACGAGTGAGTCTCCGAAGTACACATACCTAGCCGAGTTTGAATGAGTACGATTAATACAAAAATGTGTAGGCCTACCCTGGCACGATTTTTCTTGCAACTTTGAAATGATATACAGTAATTCCCTCAGAGTCTATATATGGAACCTTGCGCTACAACCACAATCACGTGATAGCTATGCCGCGATTGCTGCATTTTATAATATAATATTAAATGTGGGCTCATCCGAACTGTGACGCGACTCAAGGGAATGCAGAAGTCGAAATATGAAGTAGGCCTAACTTTTGTCATTTCTAAGTATGATGAATTTGCTGACATCAACAAAGTTCATTGGATAATTAAAATAGGCCTACAGTTGCTCAAATTTACTTGGCAATCTAACGCCGAGCACGCGCGGATCGTCTCCGTACTCGGAGTAAAAGTTCAAGTGGTTTATATTTGAGCCGAGATAATCCAAACAGCCTGAAAGAATCTCTCTCAACGAAATTATACGCTATGAATCATCTAATAACATTGCTCTACTATCTAGCAAAAAATATCATAGAGAGGTATGAAATTATTGTTAATCCCTACTGTTGCGCATGATGTGCAATAAAAGTAGGTGGCATCCGCCATCAGCACTATGTTTGCTTTACTGTACGTCACGGAAGAAGCCTCTATAACAATAACAGTGTCTTGACCTCAGGAGCGTACACAGATAGAGGAAACACAAACTTCCGATAGTCTACAACTGACGAAAATGAGACCGCATGTCCTATAATCTGTGTATATTTTTTTATAATAGAATCTGTGATGGCACGAACATCTCTTTATTAACCTAAAGTGGATACTCGCGAACATTTAATTAAAACAAAACAAGTATCATGTTTGATTGCCATCATAAAGCAAAACAATTTCTCATTCCATTAGAATTGATTTTGTTTCCAAAGTTAAAGAAGCAAAAAAAAAAAAATTGTTAAATTTACGATAACGAATACGTCACACTATCGTTTTAGTTGTCAGTACACAAACTTTTTGTTTTGCACACATCACAAATTAAGGGCGTACAGTACTTTACAAGACTTTCGTGTTCTACGCACGGTAAGTTCAATTCAGTAAATTAGTGCTATCAACTTAATATTATACTATTATTTTGTGTCATGACATACCTGTGTATCTGAAAGATTCTGAAGCGCTTGGACAAGATTCTGGTCATACTGCGGTCCCTATTAAAATAAAAAAAATATAAAGAATAAACTCAATTTGTTTATACATACAATATACAAGATAATTGAATAAATAAACCTACAGATTATATTTTTGTTGTGTTGTGAAGGTGGCAGAGATGTAAAGTGGTAGAGTTAATGATACAAAAGAATGTGCTAGGTTGTTTATATACAGGATGCTTTAATAAATAATTTGAATGAAGAGTTGTTAAGTGGTATAGAGCTGTATACATTGCTTCCTGCGATGTTAATGTACGGTAGCTCTGCACGTCAAATTCGAAAGTAGCCCGACAGGTCCAATTGAAACACTGCATTCCTTACTGAAAGGGATCCAATAAGCTATGAACTTCCAATAACACAGCTCTAAAAACCACTATTTAGGTTTAACAGATTTTTACAGTTTTTTTTTTAATATGAAGTTACTTAAAACTGAAAATAGGGGCGGAAATACTGATGCGTCTGTTATTTTCGGATAGCATTTATTATGGGATGGATAAAGCGATTTAACTATTAAACGCCCCTCTTGTAGTCAACTGCGCATTACAGTCGATGGTCAAACCATGAACAAAATTATTACATAGAGCAAACACAAAGTTGTAGAATTAATAAAGCAAAAAAAAATCAAGTGCAAGTGGACATGCAGAGCCAGTGAAACATTAGTACTAATACGGTACCGTATATATACACCGTTATAACTAATAGTTAGGCCATAAATGACGTCACTTACCACATCTAGCCCACTTTCAACCACTGGTAGCAATGTAAGACAACTACCGTCCGTTATAAAGTTCTCATTCATAGTACCTGATGTAAGATGCCTAAAATAATTAAAAAAAAAACCATCGATTTCGAAAATTATTTTGTACATTCCAAGTATCTAATTGTAATCATTGATGATAACAACAACAATAATAATATCAATTATTATCATCTCAAAAGGATGCCCTTTGTACAATCATTATTTATACTGATATAATATACTATTTTTATGAATACAGATCATAAATATACATTTATTTTTAATATTTGCGATACTGTACGTGGGTTAAACGAACAAAGCATGTTGGTAATAACATTAAGCATTTTTTTCTATTTTGTGACCACTGATTCTACATTTAAAAGCCATAAACGATAATACTGTAGTGTGCTCTACATTATTATTTATAGCTGCTATAGACATACACCCTTTTGTGTTTGGTTTTTTTTCCATAAACGTGACGAGTCAACATTGCAAATTCATTGATACTGACGTCTTAGGCATTTTCGTGTTGAATTCACTTGGAAAGGAGTGTTAATCACGCGTCAAGTACTAACGCATTCATATGCTTATGCGTTAGTATCAGACGCTTAAATTACTAACGCATACAGACATATCAATCACACAATAATCTGACCACGCCGGAGGAGTGCAATGACCATAAGAACAAAAAACAATATAATGAATTCCAAGTACAGTACTGTAAGTACAATCTTACGCTGTTCGGTCCAGCTTGCGACTATGCAAGCAATGATCATTCGTTGTGAATGAGAACGCGTTGCATTATTAGTAATGTCAACCACTGCATTGGACTATACTATAGCATTGCATGCAAGATCAGTGGCCGGAGGCCCTAACCGACCACTTGGTTCGGGCGGCCTAAATTTTTTGACCCGGCCTCATTACAGTAAATTTCTTGAACCACCACAAAATAGGCATTATGTTTAAGCTACCCCTTCATTATTAGCAAAACAAAAACCTACGAGTGGAATTTTGTTGCCCTGTAAGCTTTCCAGTGGATGAGGTGGGGGGGGAGGGGGTTTCCTGAGGGAAGAGTGGATGAAACTTTTTTTTTTCTGGAGTGCTTTTCCACTCTTCTATTAAATTCGCCACTGTCTAAAAAATAGATATTATTCAATTTTTCAACCCCGGAAAGGAATTTTTGCAGCCTCTGCGGCAGCTGAAGGTGGGCGTTTAATTTTTTTTTCTAATACAGGTAGTATCGAGGTACGTCATAAAACTCGCTGGTACGCTTCCTGTTACGGATCATGAAATGAAGTAATTGGGGCTGAACACGCAACAATTGAACGGTTTAATTCTCTTTAGCTTAGCTGAATAATCAATGCACTGAATTGAATCATATGATTGAATTTCAAAAACTACGTCAAGAATTAGTACACAGTACATCCTATACCTAACAGAATTAAAAATACAATAATATAATATAAATAAGTTATTAATAACAACAATAACAGTAAACTAACAAAATGGAACATGGTTTCGTAAAGTAGCAAATCCTGTAATGTTTCTGAAAGCTGCAGTTTAATACTCAGAATTTGAACTTTAAAGGTCAGAGGTTACCGTACCAAGCCTCCGAGTTCAGGAAGTCAAACATTTAAAAATACACGTTTAAACATCTACTGGACCAGGAAATATATTTCAAAGCGCATCGTCCATAACCAGAATTATAATAAGCATCGATAATAAATTACTGATTACATAGTCTATGAAATGTACCGTAAATGTCGGACGATTAAGATTATCGATATTTGGTGTTCATGGAAAATGTGGTACAGAAGTCGCAGCTACAGATCAAAACAATGTACACATATTTGAAATGTCATCGGTTAATGTTCCATCATAATGGTAGTTCTAAAGTTACAGTACACTGTTCTTGTGCATACCTCCACCGTCATATTGAATCTGCAGTAAACGCGTGGGACGGCGCATGCAACGAGCGGGTACTAGGGTGGCAGAGAAGTACACGGTGAATTTTGTAACCAATAAATGTCTGGTTTCAAAATGTACTATTAGTTACGTCCGCGGCAGAGTTACGAAATGGCTGGGTTATGAAATATCGGAACCCCTCTTCCCCCCTCCCCTCCCCACAATGTGACGAATCATTACATAATACTGTAGGCCTAATTGAAACGACGATCTAGTATGTAGGCCTTGTAAACGTGATGACTGTCTACCCACGCAGTATTACGCGAATGTACACGAACGACAAGACTACAATACAATAAATGTAGGCATACACCTCGTTAATGCCACAACAATAGACACTAATAGGCCACCTAAGACGTTCTCGGTGTTGGACCCCGCGTTGGATAAAAAATAAACGTTAACAGGAGGCTTCACCGAGTCATATGTACCGTGAAAAGCGCGCAGGAATTAAGACGTTTTAGTACTAGCGTTTCTGATTAATTACGTTTAATCATTTACCTTCACACATGCTCTACATAAACCACTGTTTTTTTAACAGCTGAGCTTACTACAAGCAATCGAGATAACCAAAGTTCATATATATTTACACAAATAATAATTAAAGTCTGTGTGGTTTCATAAATTTTACGTTTACATAATATACAATCACTCGATAGCATAATATCTGTATACCTTAATCGAGGCAGTCAGATAATGGGCGTGGGTGGCATTGTGTATGTTCTTCTTTGCATACAGGCAAAGGTGTTAGTCTAATACCGTACGAGGTACAGGATATCAAATGCTGGAATAAAAGAACTAAATTGCTGAGTAAAGTATTCGGTAAATTAGAAGTCACATTTGAAAGGAAAGGTATTCAAATCGTGATGGAATTCGAATGACACAATTCAGAATCGAAAAATGCATTTTAAAACAGCTGCCCACGCATGCCCTTCCTGGAAAACGCAATGTGGTTGATAGACATACAGCATAACACTTTCAAAGTCTTTTAACGAGGTGCCATGTTAGTTACGACCTTCATATCATATTACGTCACTAACCATTGGTAGTCGGGTAGGAAAGGGTTCTTTCCCCTTCGATATCTGCAGCGTTAGAATTTTGAACTGATTAACACTCGATTCGCTTGACCAATTTTATTTGCATACCATATAAATGATTCAGTTGTCTTCGATTAGGAGGTCTATTTATTATTGGTATGTTCTCCCAAAGACCCACATCCCACTCTATCGATTCCGTATCGACGCGTTAAAGAGGTAGTCGTTTTATTGTGACGTGATAAAATTGATTAAAGACATGGATCTGGTCAATTTTAGTGCTAAAGAATAGCGTCCCTGTCAGTCCCCATAACAGGAGCAAACATAAAAACAACAGTTTCAGAATAGATAAGTGAGTAGCACATAACAATAATATGCATTGAATTTTTAAAAAATTTAGTGGCAATACGAAGGGAGGGGGTAGGCAGGGGAACGTTTTTCGTTCCCCCTACTGGATCCGCCCCTGAATTAGTTCACTCATGAAACTTGTAACATAAGCTGATCGTTAAGATAGGAAGGTGGAAAAGTGACCCGGGTCACAAGTAAAATGTTTCAAAAGTGTGATAAAAAATACCATGTATTACGCATCCCTAGATAATATAAGCGACCTTATTATATTATTGAACTTATTCCCAGATGTGCTAATTGTTGTCCCGGGGCCCAGGGTACATCTCAACAGCCCTCCGCAGAAAGACGGAACTGTTGGAATACTATAGGCTAGGTGAACGCTTTAGATTTCAGAAGGCAAATATCACCCACTGTTTTATAATACTTTCCTTTTTTTCTTTTTGTAAATCTTTTCTCTGAGCTTCTAAAATTTAAAAAAATCCACAGCCCATTCTCATTATTTGTGTTGTAACCCCGAGAAAATTAGAATTTCCTATCTCATTAGTGGCCGAGCTATATTCTATTTACTCCCACCCGTAGTTCAACGATAATCCATCCCTGGGAATTTAAATGTATTCCGGTGACGATGTACTATTTTAAGCTTGGTAAGAAAACAAGATAGAAGAATAGTATAATGCTCAAACCAGTGGTGTAGTCGACTTATGTGGCCCAAAAAAGCCCAGCTGTTCCTTGGGTGCAAAGGGCCTTAGGCTTCTGAACCCAGCCTTATGGGTCCTCAAAAGAGCGTCGCCTCTAGAACCCACTGATCCCGGTCAGAAATTTTCAGACCTCCTGTTGGCCATACTCTATGTGATCAAAACTTGTGCGTACGCTAAAAAACATTGTGCATGACTAATCATAAATGTAGGGGATGTGTATGCTTTAGTCATCGAAAATAAGACTAGTGAGTTGAGTAAGTTATCTGAGAAACACCGAATACGGCTCCCCCATGATTATCCGTGGTTTCCGGAAAAAGTGGGGGTAATCGGCATCGCCTTTGTGCCAGCACTTCGCTCGATAGCAGTATCACTTAAGTGACGTCATACTGCACATTATCGGATGTTATGAATTAAGCTTACTATTAATATTGCATAGCGCTTACTTCAACCAACCAGCTCACTGCCTCAACGCAGAGATATACACCAAAAAATAGGCCTACTATTTAGGCCATTTGTATTAGAGAAGAGAGAAATAAAAAAAAGCTAAATATAGCTATACTGAAAGGCCAAGTATCGAAATGCACGCCATCATGTCGGGATTCAATATTTCGACATTTATTAAGTCATCATCAGGAATTATATCTATACTATTATAGGGTTATTGGTTTGTTTATGTTTTAGTGTATTATTAGTAGCAGTAGTAGTGCACGGCTTACGCTTGATGAAATTGATTTGCAATCGGGGTTATCCGGATATCGGTGCGTGGTCTACTAGAGAGACTGTCCATTGATACTACTGTACATGGTTAATTTTTCAAATCCCAGCGTTACCTGTAACTCACCGTTGACGGATCGTGCCTCAGCACGCACACTGGGATGCGTCAATTCCATGTAACTAGGCTACTGTACAGTTGTAGAATTACGAGGTCGGGGACGAGGTATTGTATTTGTATAACACCACGACAAATAAATCACATATACACACAGAGGCTTCATGGTTGAACAGATTCATGAAGCCTCCGTGGTCTAATGGTTATG